TAATTTATTATATCTCCACTAATTAAGATGATTAAATAACCCAAAAAAACAAAAGTGGAGTTTTATACTCCCTCACCAGTAAATTTTACCCAGGTTGGTGCAAGTAGAAAGAAACTCACTCTAGTAAGCAAGCAGACACTTTAACTGGGGATGAGAGGCAGGGGTGGAGCGCAGGGCTCTTGCTCTTGCATAATGGATTTTCTTTTGTCAGCCAGGCGCCATCCTCGCCCTCAGTTGTACTCCCTGAATCTGGGGCTTCTGATTTGTCACTGACCTGGCTGGCACAGAAAGTTAAGAGTGGGAAGCACCATTTAAGTGTCCTGGCTCCCTGGGCCGCTCTCAGGTTATTAATTCAATTAGGCACATGAATTACTTGCTCTGAGATTGTAATCTCTTGAAAGCAGGAATGGGTTTTTCAGTGACTTACAGGAATAGTCTGAAAATAAGCTGTAATTACCAGGAGCAGGTTTGGGGCAGAATTCAGAGGTTCAAAAGGTTTATTCCTAATGAAAAGCTAGTTCCAGGCATGGCTCACTTGGGGGCTGAGCTACAATGCAGAGGGGAGAAGACACATTGCCAGCCTGAGGATGATTTGCTTTTCATCTGCTATAAAAAAGGCCTTGTATGAATAGTGGCTTCTCTTAGTTTACCTGACTTTTAAAATTGAGGGGAAGCACACATATCAGAATTGTCCCTTTTTATCACAAATTCAGTGACCTTTAAAGTCCATCCTGTAACTTTGCAGCTGCCCCACTCCCTGTCTCCACATTTTCTAATCATCCTGACCTGAAACTCTCTGCTCACTAAGTAGTGACCCCTGCCCTCCCACCCCCCTAGGTGCTACCTGTAAGTGGGGCCACACACTCTGTCCTCACGTGTCTGCCTTGTCTCGCTTAACGTGTGCTGACTCCAGGGCCATGCGCGTGGCATTAAGAGTGTTATTGCTTTTGAAGGCTGAATGAAGTTCCTTGGCACGCACACACCGCAGTTCACCCACCCACTTGTCTGTGTGTGGACACACGTGGTCTGTCCCAGCTTCGGCCGCTGAGGAGGGGGGCACTGTGACCGTGAGGTTGTGCGTCCCTGCTTTGAATTGAACAGCTGCTCTTTTACCTTTTCTTCCTGATTGATTTGTCCGTTGGCGTCCTCCAGAAGCTCGTCAGTTGGTGATCCTTGATTTCCTATCAGGACATGGGCAACCCCACTCTGTTGGGGTGGTTCCTGGGCAGGCCCAGCCTGGTCACCAGGACGCTGCGGCTGTAGTTGGTCACTGTTAGATTTTTGTTCCCATTTATTCGCTTGAGTCATGATTAAGTGGCATGTAGTTTTTTTTCTTGAAATGTCTACCTTATTTGTTGAACATATGTGGTGCTTTATAATTTTAAAAGTTTGGTTAAAAACCATTGCAACAGGGGCCTCCCCTGGTGGCACAGGTGGTTGAGCGCAGCTCTGTGAAGCTGTCCGCAGCCTCTGCAGAGCAGGTTTGATCTCAGCCGACCAGCGAGATACCTACATGGTGCCGTAGACCTCTCCTGTCATGTACGCTGCGCCCCTCAGCAGTGTGTTTCAATCAGTCTGCCTGTTCTGCTCCCTGCTCTGTCTCTGGTGAATCCTCTCACCCTCCTGCACATCTGGCCTGTATCCTGGTTCTTGTGTGCATGAAAAAATAAATCTTAAAAAAAAAAATTGCAACATATATAAAATGAGACTCTTGTCTTGCATTTACTATAGAAATCCTGCTTTTAGAATGTTTTTTTAAAGGCTTCACATTTAGGAGAGTTGGCATGGATCAATAATGTTCAGACTTCTCGCCTCAGGGCCCCTTTATATTCTTAAAATTTTTTTGTAGATCACAAAGAGCTTTTGTTTATGTGGGTGTTAGCTATTGATATTTACCATATTGGAAATGAAAAGTGAAAAATTAAAAATTCCTAATTCACCAACAGAAATACCAGGAGTAATATATTTTATGAGAAGTCACTATATTTTCTAAAGAAAAAATTTGTTGAGAATGACCTTATTTTATTGCCTTTTGGGGGAATATCTTAAGTCTGACTCACTGGATTCCCACGTCTGCTTCTGCCCTCAGTCTGTGGAACGTGCTGTTTCTCTAGAGATAGTGGAGACAGTCTGACCTCACCCAGGTATGTAGTGGGGAAAGGAAGTGTCTTCTCAGATAATCATGGAGCTTTTTTCTCTGATACTGGATCCCAAACCCGGCAGGTGGTTAGTATCATGAAGGTTAGTAGCAACATGGAATTTGTACCACATCCTGATATTTTTTTTGTTGTTCTTGTACCTTGAGTGGTTCTTTCACCCAAGCATACTTTGTATCATCACCCATTGGTCATTTTGAAAAATACTAGTCCACCAAAGTATGAGAAGCTTCCAAATTTTGCCACGCTGTGTGTTATGAAACACAGTGTGAAAGCATCACTTTTTACCAGTGCCCCCTCCGGCCGCACATGGAAGGTCTAAGTCATGCGGAGCCATCAGACTCGGGGATAGAGGTGCTTTTCCTAAAATTCTGATTTTAACTTGAAAGCTCAACTTTCATCATCACAACCAGTGCTGCCCGTGGTTCCCCTCTGCTGACCGGCTCACTTGGGGCATGTTGAAGAGCTGCCTGCCAGAGAGAGACCCAAACTGAAACCCCACAGTCTGCTCTTCTCTCCAGGGCACGTGGGATCCCCCGAGAAAGTACCTGTTGAGCTGGCAGGTCACAGCTGTGACAGTGCCCCCTCTCCCCCCCCCCCCCCCCGACTCGCTGGACGGCTGGAGTCCAGGACATTAAACGACTGTTTACTTAAGGATCTAGGTTAAATAAAATTATTGACTCTTCCTGCTACATCGAGAACCTTCTCATGTGAAGCTGTGTTTATTTTAATCCTGCGAGCACGGCAGCTGGGCCCCTGCCTGGCCCCTCTCAGAGTGCTGCAGCCTGACTCTGACTGGTACCTGCCGTGTGGCTGTCACACGGCCGAGAAGAGTATGACGTCTCAGTGTCTCCGGGAAAGGGATTTTGACCTTACAGGCCCCCAGGAAGGCTTCGGGGACTGAAAGTTTACTGCCGTTTAATGAGGATGCTGTAATGGTTTTAAGGCCCAGGTGTCTTAAGCAGCCACGTTTGTCTTCCCCTCGGGGACACTGCCCCGAGCGGACGGGGCCCTGGCGGTGTAGCCTCCTTGGCTTTTAGGAGAAACAACAAGGCCTTAATGTGAATTTCACAGCTTTTGTTTTCACTTCTCCCCCAAGTCCAAGTGCTTCCTGAGAGAATGAGTGTTTGGATTTGTAGGCACATGTGGAAAATATGCACGGGGCCTCACCTGCATTAGGGCATCTCGAGGGAATTGTGTGTGACTGCTGCCTTGGTCCCGCCTGCCACCACCTCCAGATACCTGTTGAAAACCTAGAATGTGCTGGGCCCTGGGCTGGGGGTATGAGAGGCCGAGTCCCCGGGGCAGGGGAGATTTTGGGGAGCGAGCCGCCAGGGTGGAGATGTGAGGGGAGGGAAGGACACAGTCCTCAGGGCCCCGAGAGAGGGGCCGGCTGTGCTGTGGTGACCCCGCTGGGCGAGGGGGGTGGTGGGAAAGGCGCACAGGTGCAACCCACTTGTGGTCTTGCTATGACTCGGCCCTGCAGGCTGGGGCTCCCAAAGTCTGGTCCCCAGGGCAGCTGCCTTAGCATCTCTTGGGACTTGGTTTGAAATGCAAGAATCTTGACTCTGCTTCAGTGTCAAGTATTTTGGGGTGGAATTGGTTCACTAGCCCTTTGGGGAACTGGGGAGTCCCTGCCCAGCCTGGGGGACAGCATGCCAGGCTCTTCAAACAGCCTCCAGGTTTGCTTTTTTTGGGGTAAGTTTTATTTTTACATTGGAAGAACCTCGGTTGATGACACTGCTGGGACTCAGAGGTATTGGTTCACGCTTCTTCAGGTGTGCTAGCTGCACCACGCCCGCTGCCATCCTCATAATACCCACCCCCGCCCACTGTGGCCCACCGTCCTTCCCCTTCTGGTAGCCTCAATTCTACAATCAGATTTCTTGGGTTGGTTTTGGTTTGATTTTGTCTGACCCTTTATTTTGTTTCTTGATATTTCACACCTGAGTGAAACTATTTTTTTTGTTGTTGTTGTTGTTTTTCTTCTGATTTATTTCACTTAGCTTCCTCTCATCCTATCCGTGTTGTTACAAAATGGCAAGAGTTCGTCATTTTTTATAGCTGAGTAGTACTCCAGTGTGTATACATGCCCCACCTTCTTGGTCCACTCCTCTGTCTTTGGGCAGCCAGGCTGTTTCCATAATGAGCTATTGTCAATAGTGTCGAGCCTTCAGTTTTAGAAAGATCATTTTGAGGGCCCTCCAGAAATTGGGGTGCTGTGGGGAAGTTAAGGACCGTGCCGTCCATTGTCTTTGCTGATAGGCAGTGGTCTTGGACCAAAGATGGCAAAAAGGAAGAGAGGAGGGCTTTGTTGGAGGGAGATTTTCTCGGACTTTATTGCTGGTAGAGGACTTCAAAGCTGAGAGAGCAGCTGTACCTCACTGTGCCAGCAGGTTCCGGGGGTAGGATGGCCCTGCCACCTTGCGTCTTGAGGATTCCCTTTACTGACAGTGAAAGCTTCAATTCTGGCCACTTGCCAACTTGCCCAGGCCTCCTGTGTCTCCCTTTTGGGGATCTCTGCTCACCCCAGGATGAAGGCCTTTCCGAGTCAGGATTTAGTCTTTAAAAGGGCAGTGCTGTGTGGAAGAGGGGAGCTGGGGGCCTCGTTCAGCTGGGCTGCGCCTTGAGCAGGTCTCGTGAGGCGTGCCTGGCGCTCACAGTCTGTCTGTATGTCACATGTGTCTGTAAGGGGGGGGGGGCGCGTGGCCTTTCACCGTGTGAATCTGTGTCGCATGTCAGTGTAGAGGTGGGTCTCCAAGTGCACTGACAGCCATTATTCTGTGATAACCTGTGTGGAGTACTTTAAGGTGTTTTTAAAAATAGCCTGTTTTCTTTTTACAGATTTGTAAGACTCCAGGGCCTTCAAGCTGTGATCCATCAGACAGTTCCTGAGATGCCTGGGAGGGCACCCCTTGCGCCTGCCAGCTGAGGAGTGTGTCCATGCACATTTAAAGCCACCTCCTTAGACAGACACATCGACACAGAAGACGGGCTCCTTCTTGCGCACATTGGAAGAGCTTTACAACTGATGAAAATTAATTTAAGAATCAGATGGAGCAGCACGGCACCTCCGGGCTCAGGTGCCCGGGGAGAGAATTGCGGCAATAATCACCAGCTCCCCATATGGGCGTCACGGGTGAAGAAAGTTTGTAAAAAGAAGAGAAAAAAAAACTTGCACAGACCAAGCCTCAAAAATACCTCTCCATTTTAAAGCGAGGAACTCAGTGAGAACGTGACGGGGAGGAGCGTGGCTTCCAGCTCCGCAGCGGGGAGTAGGCAGTGATTTTGCACTTTATTTTTCAGTGGGTCTGGTGATTTGGACAGATTTTAAAATTCTGGACTTAAAAGTCACTCTTGCCATCGGGGTTCTGACTGGAGGAAAGCGAGTTCAGGTGTGCTGGGGCACATTTGGGTGAAAAACTGATTCCTTTGCCATTTTTTAGTTAACTGTGTTTGAGAAGTTTTAATCTGTCTCCCTTCTCCTTTCCCACATCTCTAGGATAATCTCTTGAGGCAGTAAATCAGACCGATAGTTATAAAGTAGACAGCAAAGAGACCTGGGCAAAGCTGCTTGGCCTTGGCCTGTCCATGGGGCGTTTGGAAAGAGTCCCCGAGGGTGGGCAGGAGCAGGGCTGCCGCCTGGGCGGGGCCCACAGACTCTGTGGGGAGTAGTCGGGGCAGGGCCTGCTCTTGCCTGTGCTCTCGTTTTAATGGATTCTCTTCCCGGTTGAGTCCAAAAAGATTTGCCCATAAGAGGACTTGATGGACTTAATTCTGACGTTACCATTTTCCCTGCAAGATGGAAACGTCTGATCCTTAGGAGCAGGAAAGGGAGAGCGTCTAGGGGAGGGAGGAAGGGACTGGAGGGGCCTGGGGCTCGGGGCGGCAGGAGGACCAGGGCGTCCTGGAGTCAGCACTTGGCTGCTCAGAACGCTCTTGCTCTGTGTGGTAAAGGGCTCTCCCGCCCCATGGCACTGAGGGGCGCTCGGGGCTGTGGAGGGGCAGTCGGGTGAGGCCCTGCGCTCTCTGGGGACACAGCCACCGGTGGGCAGAGCAGGCTGGGCTCTGAGGCGGGAAGTTTCTGGTTCTGAACAGTAGGGAAAGTTGTTTTTTTTCCTTCCTAAAATTTGATTGCTGTCTGCACAAACTCTGGCCTGTTCTGCACGATTTGTGTGCCTTTCTTCCCTTATGCAATCTTTTTCAGCTTTGGCAGCAGAAATTTGTCTAGTTGAGAACACCTGCCAGAGGGTGGCCTCGGAAGGAAGATGCCCCGTGTGCTCTGTCTCTGCATCTGAACTCGTGAATTCCAGCTCGAGGGATTCTTAAAGCCTTAAGTTACTTGAAATCTATGTATTTGCAGCCCTCTGTCTCTGGAACCCCATTCATTCTAAACTGGAATCTCAGGCTGAATGAGAATAACCCAAGTCGAGAAAAAAAGAGGAGAACTCAGTCTTTCCGTCGCCACTTATCTCCAAAGGGTCAGCCCTCTCTTCCTCTAAGGACTTGAAACTGAAAATGGACCCCACTTTTTTTTAAGCATTGCCTTTTCTTAGCAGACTGCCATCATCTTTTATAGAGGAATTTTTTCACTATGCACTTGGTGGATCTTTATAAAACACTGACCTTCTAATTAGCTTCAGGTCAGTCCTAATTAAAGGCGGTCAGGGAAAGCAGCGCCAGCAAACCACAGAAATCAAGCCCGTTGCCCAATGAAAGGAATAGGTTTAGGGTTTTCGGCATTTGGCGTTGCTGCTTAGGTGGACGAGCCTGGTGGCGAGCAGCATGTACGCGGCGGTGGAGCCGGGACCTGTGCTCTGCAGCGACTCCAACATCCTGTGCCTGTCCTGGAAGGGGCGTGTCCCCAAGAGCGAGAAGGAGAAGCCGGTGTGCCGGCGGCGCTACTACGAGGAGGGCTGGCTGGCCACGGGCAACGGCCGGGGTGTCGTGGGCGTGACGTTCACCTCCAGCCACTGCCGCCGGGACCGCAGCACCCCGCAGAGGATCAACTTCAACCTGCGGGGCCACAACAGCGAGGTGAGCGGGGCTGGCTTCCTGGGGTCTGGGTCCCCAACCTTTCGGGGCGTGGTCTTGAGTACCCCCTCCCCGGGGTGCAGGCTCGCAGCTGAGTGAATTGTGTGTCCTGCGTTCCCTGGGAAGGTGTTCAGGTGACGTGGCTCCTGGCCCGCATCCTTCCCTGTGTGTGGTGTGTTTCTCGAGCATCCTTGTCCTCCTCTCCCAGTAGGGGGTGCTTCCTGGCGGGGGCAGGGGTGGGAGAATGGGGGGCTTTCGGAGCAGGGCCAGAGGTGGGATGAAAGTCCCTACCCACCTGTCGCAGGCTGGACTTTGTGCAGTCCCTGGGCCCATGGCTGAGAGTCAGCGGTGGTGGAAGGGGGCCGTTGGCCCCGCAGAGCCGGCACCTGCTTTGCTCTGATGCTGCTCCTGCATGGGGCTGCGGCTCTTTTCCGGGCAGGTGCACAAAGAAAGGAGCTGGACAAAGGTGAGAGAAGTGATCCACTGGGCCAAGCGGCAGTTTTCCCAGCTGTGGGGTATATACTGTTGAGACCGCTATGCGGTGCAGATGTACACAGCCCTGTCCAGGCTTCTAAAATATGAACAGTGTCTATCTCTGTGAAATTCACGCGTCGTGGCTGTTGTGGCTTTGGCATGGGGTCCCCAGCCTAGACCGTCATCGGTGTGCGGGCCTCACAGTCACTGGCTTATCTGTATTTTCTGATGAAAAGCACATCTGGACATCTGACTCGATGGTTATTGACTGTTAAAAAGGAAGCAGAATGGTTGCGAAGTGCAGCGTATAGTGAATCGCACTAGTTTTAAGTGTACACTTCAAGGCTTATTTTACGGACATGGCCGCATCCTCACCCACATCACCTCCAGCCAGATCAAGTCAGAACATTTCCATCGCCCTCACTGGGACCTCGTCAGGCTCTGCACCCCCCAGACAGGTGCCCCAGCATGCTGTCCCCAGGGGTTCATCCCAGTCGCTCTGTATCCAGCTCCCCCCTCTCCACATGGGGTACACGAGTCCCCCTGTCTGTAGGTCTGTGCTTGTTCCTCTTAATCGATACTGGGTTCCCCTGCAGGAAGAAGCCCAGTTTCCCTGATTCTGTTGGTGGGCTTTGGGGTCACTCCTGGCCCCGCTGCTCGGGCCCTGCCTGCGGTGGGCATCTGTGTGCATGTCTTGGCTCTGAATCATTGCACGCAGAGGGGAATCTCTGAGTCAGGCAAACAAGCCTTTCAGCAAGAGCGGCCCAGCTCTCCCGAGCCGTGGCGTACTTCACGCCCCCCACCAGCGCGGGCGGGTTTCAGTTTTGTGAGAAGCTTCTTTTGAATTTTTCAGGTAAAGATGGGCTTTATGTGTGGAATTACGCTCTTTAGACACTTGCCGAGTTCCTGTGCACGCCCGCAAGCACATGTACATCCGCGTACCTGTAATTTTGAAGTGGGTGCGCTCTTTCAAGGTATCTTTTTCTAATTCTGTACAGTGATTTATAACCACACCCCCCACCTTTTACCTCCCAGAACCGGTGGTCTGGAGTCTGGCTTGGCGTGGCTGGACCCTTGCTGGGGTCTCATGAGCCCGGCGAACGCGGTGATCAGCCAGGATGGTGGTCCCGTCTCCGGCTGGTGGCAGCAGTCAGCTCCTTGCCCTTGCAGCACTGAGGGCCCCCCGGGCTGGCCCTGCCACTCACTCAGCAGACCGCTGTGTTGCGGGGGTGATGCTCTGCTTAGCCGTCTGCTCTTGTGGTTTGGTCACACTCCCCGGGCTTGACTTGCTTACCTCCCATTGTTTAAAATGTCATTTAGTTAGTTTTATTTCCTTTAACTCCTTAGGCCACCTGCCTGGCCCCTTCCCCACCATTTTGCTGATGCCACCGGTGCCTCATTTACACCAAAGCAGTGTTCCTGGAGCCCCAGGGTCTCAATCCTGCTTGGCGACTCGGCCCCTGGTGGAGCTGAGGTGCTGCTGTCTCACTTTCCCGAAGACCACGCGCCCCCGCCTCTCCTCCTCCCTTTCTGACCTCTGCTTTCCACCCTTTCTCATCGCTGCCTCTTCCCGCCTCATCTTCAAATGTCGGAGGGCCCCAGGCATGTCTGGTTTTCTGCACCGTCTCTCCAGGTTGGCGTTAAACCCGGCTACATGCTGCGGGTTCTGAGTGTGTGTCTCCTGCTGGCCGCCTCCCGGCCTGAGGTCCCACGCCAGTGGGGTACGTGGCTTCTGTCACGGAGCACCGGAACCAGGGGGCTTGCTCTCCCCCCACCGGCCTGTCCAGCCCAATCTCTTCTCTATCTCAATGGGCACCCGAGACCAGCCAGGTGGGCTGTTAGTCAGATGCCATCTCCATTGTCTTTCTAAGGAAGAATTAAGCCCTCAAATTTCAGGCTTGCATGTCTGTAGTGCAGGCAGCAGGGCGGAACCGGCAGAGGAGAGTCCTGGAGCCCTCGGTAGCGTTTCCGGGCTTTTAATTATCTTTCTACACCACTTGTAGTGAGGTAACCAGGGTCAGGGCAGGCAGGGGAGCTGGGGATGGGCAGGGTGGGAGGCTGGCGCATCCTCCTCACCCCCCCTCCCCGCTTCCCTGCTGGGTCCTCGTCCTCTGTGACCCGGTCCTATATACCCAGCCTCCAGGCCCAGGTGCGCCCACGCCCACTCAGGCATGCCCATACCACACTCCAGGCATCCACCTTCAGGCGTGCCTGCCCCAAGCCCATAGTCCCAAGCTGCAGGTGATAGCCACAGAGGCTAGCGGTGCAAAAGCCTGAGCATCTTCATTTACCCTACAGTGTCTAAAAGTATCTTAATTCTGCTTTCATGCTTGATTGATAGCTTGGCTGGGTTTAGTTTTCTAGGTTGGTTCTGTCAGAATTTTGAAGGTACTTTTCATTGTCTTCAAACTCACAGAGTTACTATCGAGAAGCATGGGGTTTAAGAGCTCGGGTCCTGAGCTAAATTCTGATTCCCAAATTTTCACTGTATTATTTATTTATTTTCTTACTAAAATCTTCTGATGTGAAATGGGGTTTCTAAGTAGTACTTTGCTCCTGCGAGGCTTGTGGTGAGGACTGAGTTAATATTTGTAAAGCACTTAGAGCAGTGCCTGGCACATCATGTTGGGGGTCTTGGTGACATTGGCTGTCCTTCTTATTTTTATGTAAACATAAAAAGTACCTGGAAGTTTTGGCATCTGCTCTTTACCCTAGATACTCTGAAATGTTGAAAGCTGTTTAAGCATAATGTATTATAAAACTGGAATCTCTCTGTGTGCATGTGTGCATGGGGGAGGGGTGTTCAGCAAATGGGCTTTATCGTGGAATAACCTGGGGGAGAACCAACTGTTTTGTTGCCACCTGCCAAATGCCGGCATCTAAGCATATTTTTCTGGGGTTGTTCAGTTCCCAGTTTCTTTAGATAAGGCTCTTCCTGCGCTATGCCTGTGAGTGCTTGTGTGTGTGCGTGTGCGTGTGCATATGTGTGTGCGTACCCATTTGAGCACGCTGGGGAGAGGTAGCAAAAGTAGAAGCAAGAGGAGGCAGGAGTGTCTTGGGGTGCTTGCTGTGCCAGACTGCCTTCTCAGAGCTTTTGCTCATCTAATCCTGATGCAGCTCTGTGATCTGACCTGCTCGTGTCTTTGTCGATGGGTCAGCTGAGGTAGAGACGCTGAGAACTCACCCAAGGTCACACAGTATAAGCCCGTATAATGCTGCACTTGACAGATCTGAGCGCGAAACTGGGGACTCTCAGGTTATATGCTCTTAACCTCAGAAAGTCACCCCTTTTCAGTTCAGTTCTTGTTACTGACTTTGTGGTGCCCGGTGTCCCCAAGACTGGCTTCTGTGGTTCACTCTTCAGGGAATATGTCGTGGGTGCCTGGTGCTGGGGGATCCCTCCCCACCCAGGGACAGCTGTACTGCTGGGAAGGAGGAAGCAGGGTCTGGCAGCGTCAGGGGCGTGCGTGCCCTGAGCCCTCCAGTTTCAGTCTGCACTGCCCCGGTCCCTGGAGCCTCCTCCTCCCGGCCCCTTGCTCCTGGCCAGCCCCTGCCGTGGAGCTGTCTCCATGCCCATCCACCCGCTGCCTCCGCGTGGGTGGCCTTGACGTGGCGCCTGCTTGTTTTCATTGCTGTGCTTTTTAGGTGATTTCTAAGAAGAGTGTAGGCTCATCTTTATTTTGATCTCTTAAATCAGAAGTCTCCTCTTCAAAGTCTAGAATATAATAGATTTACATTTTATTAAGAAAATAGAATTATCAAAACAATGCCTTTTTTGGTTTTCTTGGGTTTTTTTCTTCTAGCAGTTTGTTTTAATTTTTCCCTCTTCGTAGAAATGAATGGTGATGTTTGGAAGTAACTTGGACATATGAAAAGCATTGTCTTTCGGGGTATTTTTGCTAGAGAGACTGAGGAATGTGGGCACAGGCTGTCATTTTTGGTAATAGCTTCCCAGGGAGGCAGCTACAGGCTGCCTGGCGTCAGCATGGGCGAGAGCGGGATTTTGGGGTACTGGGCAGCGTCTCCTGGTGCTCGTGATTTATTAGCAGGTGGGCCTGTGGCTTCCTGTGCCAGGCTGCTTGCATTTGAACCCAGCCTTCCCGCGTGATTTGGGACACGTCAGCTCGCGGTGCTGTGGCTGCCATCACCGGTGATGCAGCCCCAGCCGGTGTGCGTCGGTGAGCTCACAGCGTCCTAGTCCTCACTCCTTAGCACACTTCCACCCTTGGTGTTGTACCCTCTGCGCTTCCTTTTGAGTTTAGTAGTGGCGCCGGGCTCTCTCTGCTGAGAAGTGGCCTGGGGATTGCAAAGTATGCGAGTGGAATGTGAGGTGGAGGCTGGCCAGGGGTGGGCAGGTGGGAGGTGCCCCTATTGGGAGGGAAGTTGGGCTTGTGCCACAGTTTACTTACAGGTTTGGGATTCTTGACTTGGGCAGCTAATCTGTGTCCTTATCTCCCTGGCATTCTCGACATGGTCTCCAACAGAATCACCGTCCGCCTCCCTCCACCCAGCCCGTGGCACCTGGTGCG